AAAAAAATTTTTTTTTTTTTAAATCAGTTAAGAGTCCGCAGAATAGGAGGCTGGAAGAAAGCAAGCCACGGGTCTATTTTGACTTTGCCTACAGCGGATTTAAGTCTCTAGCTAAGAAAACCTGACCGTATAAAAAAACAAAATAAAAATAAGAAAGAAATTACACCCAGTGTTTATGTCCTGATGTAAAACAGCCCCAGCCTCGGGTGTTACAGTGAGCTTATCCCGTTCGTCTTTTTGTTTGTTTACTTGCTTGTTTGTTTATTTTGAAGGGGAAGGCGTCAGCTCTTGGCTTCTTTCGCCATAATTAAGTGCACATGGGCTGAGGCCCAGCGTGGCTGGAGAGTCGAGCACGGCTTGCAGCCCTTCCCTTCCAGTAATTGCAAGGTGAAAACAAAAGTGAGCAGCCAGCAGCTTGTATTGCCAGGGAGCTCAGGCCACAAGCAGCCTCAGAACAAGGAAGTACTGTCATTGTGGGGCTCTAGTTTTCACAAGTACATACAGGCGGCAAACGTGTCAGGACCGTGAGTAGTAGGATTGACCCGGGCAGAGGCATTTCAGCCTGCAGGAGCCCTTAGGTCTTCATGAAGAAATCCTCCAGAAAGACAAGAATCCTGAAAACGCCAAGGTTGCCAAACCTTCCCCTGCCCCCACCCCCACTCCGGTTCTCAAGGAGTTAATTCTGAAGGTTTCTTCAAGGTTTACCATTGGCAGGTACCCTGATCACAGCTGCGGGCACCTGAGAAAGGCGTAGAGGACAACTCCCCCCCCCCCCCCCCCCCCCCAAGCCAGAGGGGCTCCACTTGTGTGTGCGTCAGGCCACTCAGGGCAGAGACAGGGAGAGCAACCGAGTTCTGCCTCTGACTTGTGGCCGTGAGAGGTGGAAATGCTCTGTCAATACTTTGGCTTCTGAGGCTGGTTGGAGATGAGCGGGGGGAGGGCGTCTTCCTCCCAGGCTGGCTAACATAGGAGTGTCCCTGTCCTGGGAGCGCATGGAGAATGAGTGAGGTCATGTTTGTAGAGGGCTTTGAGCTGCCGGGATGAAAGCGACTCTCCGAGTGCAAGGTATTATTAACTGAAGGTATCATTATTTTAATCTGAGAGGACCATGTGCAGCACGTAAAACAGAGCCATTAAAACATGCCCATTAATAACAAAACAGTAGGAGCCTCCGAAGGAACAAACTCTTGGTCCCATCAATGGTCTAAACTCCAGAAAGAGCCGTGATGCGGCACCTGGAAGAGAGACAGACCTAACCAGTATTTCCTCGGGCGGCTCACAAGGAAATTGTGAATGTAAGTCGGCGAGTGCTGAGGCTGGGTGCTGAGACAGGACAGCAACAGCTGGACCGCAGCAAACCACTGCCGCCTACCCAGCACTTCTAGTGGGCCAGGCACCTTTCTAAGAGTTCGACGTCAGCGGACTCCTTTCAACCCACACAATCCGGAGTCCCCTAGCACCAGCTGGGCAGGTAAGGCACCTGGGAGGGGAGGAGCCTCCCCAAGGTCACAGTAGTAAGCAGTGGGGTGAGGCATTGGCTCCAGACTAGTTCCAGAACCCCGCGGTAACCCGTTATAGCACACTGGCCGCCTTCGTGCCGGAGTGGTTGCCCTTTCCACACGAGGGCTGTCAAGGACATTGGGATTTCCACTGAGTGAACCCCCGGTGGGGAAAAGGGGGCATCAGCTGGCGGAGGAGGGGAAGGGCCGGCTCAGCAAGTGGGGCTCAGGTACTGACAGGTGTGGGATGGCTCCCTTCCCCCGTCTCGGACTTCCCATGCTATTTATCGCTAGCCTTTGCTTGCTTAACACAACCTATTTTGTGCTACTCCTTTTCGGTGGAAATGTGCGCTATTTCTACTAAATGGAAGGTTCGGTTGACTTTGCCACTTCGAAGCATGAAGTTTTTTCTGGTCTGTCTCCTTAAAGAGGATGGGGACTAGTACAGGAGTGCTTCCTCTACTCCAGGCAAATCCCAGTTCTCTGATAACTGAGATTTGTGTTTGTGGAGAAGGTACTGTGAACCCGGCTCTGTGCTGACTCCCTTGTTTGAATTACTTGATCTGACACAACCCAGTGAGGTGGGAAACCCTGTACACCCCCAATTAGCAAGTGAGAAAAGCAGGATCAGAGAGGTTAAGTGACTTGCTCTAGGTCACTCAGCTAGCTCAGAGTGGAACTGAGCTCTGAACTCAGGTACCTGTGTTTGCACCCAAACCTGGTGCTCTTAAATATCACATGCTACTTTCTAGCTCTGCCTACTCCCCTGGAATCCACTTTGGCGTCTCCCTTAGTGGTACTAAAAAGATCAGATCGAAAAGCTTGTCTCCATTGCTGGAAGTCGCAGGTAGGTCAAGGCCATTCCCCAGGTGATGAGTTCTTGCTGGTTTATACCAGATTACATTTTCACCAAATGTCACATGTCCCACAAGGGACAAAGGCCGTACCACTCCCAACATAGTTAATGGCATTTCCCAAAAGCAGCCCTGATGGCCTGTACTCTCTGTCCTACGCCAGCCCGGCGATAAGGAGGCCCTGCCCCTGCTTGCCAGGTATGTCTCACGGTAGGTGAGGCTCTGGCAACTTTTCGAAGGGACGCCAGAAGCTAGGTCTTTGCCAAGGGGGAGAGAAAGGCAGGGCAGAGAGACAACTTTCCTTTTTTAAAAAAATTTTTTTTAGATATTTATTTATTTTTGAGAGACAGCACAAGTAGGGGAGGAGCAGAGAGAGAGAGAGAGAGAGACAGAATCTGAAGCAGGCTCCAGGCTCTGAGCTGTCAGCACAGAGCCCAACGCGGGGCTCGAACTGACAAAGCATGGGATCCTGACCCGAGCCAAAGTCAGAAGCTCAACCAACGGAGCCACATAGGCGCCCCCTGACCCACCCTTTGATTGATTGATTGATTGATTGATTTCTGAGAAATATATCATACACCAAGAGTTTGTGCATAATCTATGCACAGTTCGAAGAGTATGGAACAATCACCCACACACCCAACATAGAACTTAAGATGTCCAAGACTAGCACCTTTGAAAACGTTCCTAAGAGCTTCTCCAAATGCATACCTTTCTTTCTTTCCCAGAAAGACTCCTAAGCCTCAAATTTGCATTAATCATTCCCTTGCTTTTCTTTGTCATTTAATCCTGTATGTAGGTATCTCCAAACAATGCACTGTG